GAACTAAAACTCAAATACAATAAATGACTTATTCAAAGTCACATATACACTGACATTGACTCATGTCTCTTAGTGCCACAGAAATACAGAAAACTAGTAGGCAGTTGTGTTGTAGGAACTTAACTCTTTTTTCTATCAATTAGCCTATGGTTAAATTGGTTTTGCTTTATGTCATTTCACTTAAAGTCCCAGTTTCCAAGAACCTACCTAGGACATTAAGTAAGAACTTACTGCACTTCATAAACATTAGCTTTTTTATTCTTTGCAACTTAACCTATGGGGTATGTAGTATTTTGATTAGTCCATTTTACAGAGAAGGAAACTGACACACAGAGTCAAGTGACTTACCTACGGGCTCCCAGGCTGAACTTTGGAGATCAATGACTGAACCCCCATATGATACTATTTCTTAGAGTTGGTATTGGAGGGTGTTTGGTTCTAAGCTAGGAAAGGTGTGTTGAGGACCAAATAACCTGGATTGAGAGAATCAAAAAAGGCTTCATATCCCAGGGGTCTTGACTTCTAGTCTGAGACCTGAGGCATAAACTGGAAGGAGAGGTCAGGAATGAAGTCTCTCGGGAGTGGGAACAAATTGTTTAAAGGCCCAGAGTTGGGAGGGGAAGTGAGACTTATTCAGCATGACTGGGTTAAAGAGAATGAAGTGAGTGGTAGGAAGAGGCATGGCTGGTGCAGTGAGCAGGAACCAGACAAGATGGTTGATAATTTTTTTTTTTCTTTACTGCATCCTAAAAGCAATCCATTCAAGATAGGGAGTGACTAGATTTGTGTTTTATATTACTCTGGTTATTATGTGGAGAATGGATGGGAAAGGGCAAACCTGCAGGCCTAAGATCAATTAGGATGTTTGAGTCATCAAGGTGGCCAGGATTTAGGGAGAGTGAAAAAGGAACAGATTGGGCAACCCCTATTAAGCCCAGATTATATTTGCATATATAAGACAAGTTTTTAAAAATGTATCTACGAGAGAGAGAGAGAGAGAGAGAGAGAGAGAGAGAGAGAGAGAGAGAGAGAGAGAGAGAGAAAAGGAGAAATGGAGAAACATGGATTTATTGTTCTATTGATTTATGTATTTATTGGTCACGTCTTCTTGTATGTGTTCTGACCAGGGATAGAAACCACAACCTTGGTGTATGGGACAATCTTCTAGCCAACTGAATTACCCGGCCATGGCAAAGACAATTTTTCTAAAGATTTCTTTGCTTGTTTTGTTTGTTTGTCTTAGAGTAAAAGAAAGGGAGAGGAAGAGAGAGAAACATAGATGTGAGAGCAGTTGCCTCCTGTATGTCCCCTACTGGGGATCGAGTCTGCAACCTGGGTATGTGCCCTGATTGGGAATCAAACTGGCAACCTTTGGGGGCCCAAGATGATGCCCAACCACACTGGCCAGGGTGAAAGACAATTTTTGTAAGGAGCTCACTTTTTCATCAATGCTGATAAAGCACAGTGTGCCAGTTCCTTATAAAGGAATGAGAAGGGGAGCACTGAGAGGAAAAAAGCAAGGATTTTGGAGCTACCTAATGTGGGTTGAATTCACTTACTACTTTTGTGGCTTTTAATATATCATAGGCATAGATAACAGCTCCACCTTCTTCCTCTAGTCTGACCATCATCCTCTCCAGCCAGGAATATTCTAGTATTCTGAACTTGTTTCTCTGTTACTGGTCTTGCCCTCCTGACCTGAGAGGTAGAAGAGCATCTTGGGGGAGCTCACAGAAGGGAAAAAGATGTCACACACAGACAGCTCACACAGGAAGAAATACATGGGGGTGTGCAGCCGAGTGGAGGAGGCAATGGCCAGCAGGATGAGCAGGTTTCCCACAAGAGTGAAGACGTAGAAGGTCAAGAACAGGACAAAGAGCACGGCCTCCAGGTCCTCTGTGTGCGGGATGCCCAGCAGGATGAACTCGGTCACCACTGAGGCATTCCTCATGGCCGGGCTCAGGCCAGGCCCAGGAACGGGACTCGAGACACCAAAGTCTGATCACCAATAGCAAACTATCTAGCTGTTTGTGTTTTTAACAAGCAGAACCCAGCCCCCTTAGGAATGGCAATGTCTATTTGAAACTTGGAGTTGGTGAGAGATGCTTATGTTAGAGCCACAGTCTCTCCAACCCCTGGAAGGAATGTTTATGTGGAAGCAGGTGGTTGTCTGTGATGACAAGGCCAGGGATTTAAAGGTGTATTCAAAACATTGTCCTGTTATGTGGGAAACCGTTTTACAGTTCTTTAATTCATGGATTTACTCTCTTTAGGCGTATTTCTCACAATACTTTAAGCAACAAAGTCACACGCTTTAATACCCTCTGGAAAATGTCAGGAAAAGAAATGGCATTAGAAATCAGAACACTTCATTTAAATCCTGGTTTTGTCACCTATTAGCTGTACTCCTTTAAATAATTCACACAACATCTTTACAGACATAGTTCCATTACCTAAGAAATAAAAATCATAATGATCATAAAACAACAAACATACCCTAGTATAATAGCCTTATTTTGCTTAGCATGATATTTATGTTGTTGCAAGTGGCAGTATTTCATCTTTTCCTATGACTGAGTAGTATTCCATTGTATATATGTACCACATATTTTTAAAAATATATATTTTTAATTGATTTCAGAGAAGGGAGAGGGAGAGAGATAGAAACACCAATGATGAGAATCATTGATTAGCTGCCTCTTGCATGGCCCCCCTCACCCCAGCTGGGGATCGAGCCTGCAACCCAGGCATGTGCCCTTGGCCATATTCAAACATGGGACCTTTCAGTCCAAAGGCCGATCTACTGAGCCAAACTGGCTCGGGCTGTACCACATCTTCTTTATCCATTCTTCCGGTAAAGGACACTTGGGTTGTTTTCACGTCTTGGCCACTGTGACTAATGCTGCAAGGAACATAGGTGTGCAGATATCCTTGCAAATAAATGTTTTCAAATTGTGGGGGTGGATACCTGAAAGAGGGGTTGTTGCCGGGGTATGTGGTAACTCTATTTAAAAATTTTTGAGGAACTTCCATACTCTCTTCCACAGAGGCTATATCAGTTTATATTCCCACCAGCTGTGAAAGAGGATTATTTTTTTTCTCCACAACCTCTCCAACACTTGTTATTAAAATAATAATTATATATATATATATATATATATATATATATATATATATTGATTTTTTTTTTTTACAGAGAGGGATAGAGAGTCAGAAATATCCATGAGAGAGGAACTTGGATCTGCCACCTCCCGCACACCCCCCACTGGGTATGCGCCCGAAGGTGATCGAACTCAGGACCTTGATTCCACAGGCCGACATTCTATCCACTGAGCCAAGTCAATTAAGGCCCCAACACTTGTTATTACTTGTCTTGTTGATAATAGCCTACAGGACCTCTATCATCTCCATCTTTCTTACCTCATCTGCTACTACTCATTCTTCACCACCACCCTTCTCCCCCAAGCCAGACACTTCTTTGTTGTCCTTAAAATACAAGAGGCCTGAGAACCTTTGCTCTTGCCTCTCCCCTGTGCTTGAAATGCTAGTCCCCTGACTTATTCCCTCTCATGGCTTCTGCACCTGAGCTTTACTTGAAAGCTGTTTTCAGGGCAAGGCCAGAAAGGAGGCTGAGAGTATTATCTTGATTATTTTTCTTGGTGACTGTAGCTCCTCCCAGGAGAACCCAGGGATTTTTTGCCTTTTCACTTCACTGTTGTATCCCCCTAAGTCTAAAACCGGCCCTGGCAGATAGGAAATACTCAACAGGTGTTTAATTATCTTGATAAATCGTACAAGGACAAAGCGCTTACCACATGGGCCAGGCCTAGTTCGAAGCATGTTACATATGTAATCCACACCCTAATCCTATGAAGAAAATACAAATCACCAGCTTCATTTGACAGACGTGAAGGCATGAAGACAACGGAGGCTCCGAGACACTTAAGCAGCTTCCCCAAGGTTACCCAGCTACTTAAGTGGAGCTGCGATCTGGGGGAATGCAATGAATGAATGTTCAGTTTGGCAGAAGGCTCAGAGATGGAATCGGGGCGGTGAGACCGGAAGCGGTCGGGTCGTGGGAGCGTTAACCACCCTGCGCACCCAGCACAGCCCCGCAGCCAAAGGCGGGGTTGGACTCCGGATCAGGGCACATGCCCCGGATGGCAGGCTTGATCCCCTGTGTGGGGCGTGTAGGAGGCATCCGATGGATGATTCTCTCCTTGTGGGTTTCTATCTCTCCCTTCCTCTCTCTGAAATAAACAAAAATATATTTAAAAAATAATAAAGGAGATGGAACTGGAGAACATCTTGCTGAGTGAAATAAGCCAGTTAATGAAAAGAGAAACACCACATGACCTCACTCATTTATGGATAATAAAGAACATTATAAACTGATGAACAAAAAGATAGATACAGAGACAGTAAAGCAACAACCAGACTGTCAAATTACAGCGGGGAGAGGAGGGAGATGTGGGGGAGTTAAGAGATCAACCGAAGGACTTGTATGCATGCATGTAAGCAAAACCAATGGACGAAAAACTCTGGAGGAGTGGGCATGTATGGGAGTGGGGGGGCAATGGAAAGATATGTACACATATAATATCTTAATAATAAAAAAAGTGAAAAAAAATAATAAAGGAGAACACGAGGGTGCTTGGGGAACTGAAAGGAGCGGCTCCCCGGAGCCGCCGCACTGCCTGGACGGCCGCGGCCCCCGGCGCCCGGAAGCAGGAAGTGGCGGCGCGCGGCGCGGCGCGGTGACGTCAGAGGGGCGCCCGCGGCGAAGGGCGGGGGAGGAGGCGGAGCAAGCCGGGCCGGGGGGCGGCTGCACAGTCTCCGGGTTCCCCAGGCCTGGAGGGGGGTCTGCGTGCGGCCGGCCGGCTCTGCCTCCCCTCGTCCGGTCCCGAGCGGGCCTCCCTCGGGCCATCCCGATGGTGACCGGGCCCAGCGGCGCCTGAGCCAGGAGCGCGCCGGTCGCGGAGCCGGAGGGCGGGAGGAACATGACATCGCGGAGGTGAGGAGCCCCACGGGCCCGGCGCGGCCTCGGCCCGTCCCCCGCCGCGTTCCGTCGTCAGCCCCTCCCGGGAGGGGGCGCCCCGGTTGGGTTTCGATCGCTTGTCCGGGGTCAGGGGCGGGGAGGGTGGGGGGAGAGGCCGGGGAAGATGCTTTCTTCCAACCTCCTCGCCCTCTCGGGCCGGGCCCGGCCCCACCGCGCCCCCACCTCTCGGTCCCCATTCATTTCCTGCCTCCCCGAGTTCCGGCTCCCGCAGCCTTGGGGATGCCGGTCTGGACGGGGGCAGGTAGAGCCGCCGGGGGACCCGCGGACGCCAGCGGCCCGGCCCGGCGCCGCATTCCTGACCCATTGCCTCATGAGAATTGCCTCATGGTGATTCCGAAATAACCCCGCTCGCTCTCGGGAGGCTCCTGGTTCCGGGAGCCGGAGGGGAGCGGCGGGCGCTGCGCGGGGCCCGGCCCCCGACGGCGGAGCTGCTGGCGGTCACTGCCCTCCCCGCGGGCGTTTGGGGGCTTCGCTCGGGACCTCGGACCCCTTGAGAGGCGTCTTTGCATCACCCCTCCCTCCCCTCCCGTGCCAGACATGGAAAAACTGACTGTGTCTGCAGCTATTAGAAGTATTTCCTTTCTCAGCGACCTTCGCTTCGGAGAGATGGGAGGGAAGGGAGCTGTAACCTCTAGTTGTGGAATCCTTCACCACAACCTTAAAAGCCAGGTGGCATTCATCGCCCGCCGGTTTGCGGATGTGGAAACTGAGGCTACTAAATGACAGGGTCTGAACCTGAAGGGTCACAAGGAGGGTTTGTGAATTACTGAGATCCTTTGAAAGTTCAGGGTGATACTAATAGGTAACATTTGTTAAGCTGTTACTGTAAAGCCAGGCACATCTAATCTTCACTAGAACCCTATTACTCCCCATCCCCCCTTTAAAAAATATATTTCTATTGATTTCAGAGAGCAGTGGAGAGGGAGAGAAAGATAGTAACATCAGTGATGAGATAGAATCATTGATCAGCCGCCTCCTGCACACACCCTACTGGGATTTGAGCCTGCAACCCAGGCATGTGCCCTGACTGGAATCGAACCTGTGACCTCCTGGTTCAGCGGTCAAAGCTCAGCCACAGAGCTGTGCCAGCCAAGCTATTATCCCCTTTCTAAAGATGAGTAAACTGAGTTTCAGGTGTGGGGCAACTTGCCTAAGGTCACAGCCTATTAGTGGTGAAGCCAGAATCCCCACTGTTTAATCACCGTTGCTCTTACTATTTTATAATGCTGCTAATCATTGTTAAGCCTTCATTTTGTTGTTAAAACAGTAGTGTGTGACCTCTTGTTTTCAGATGGCGATCTTGCTATTTTGTATTGCCTCTCTTTATATACATTTCTCATATAAGACTCATTGTTTAATCTTAATTGTCCCTGTATGGTCAATGTCATAGACATTTGAAAAACTGTGTCAAGCTGTGTTGGGGTTATTTGAATGAGAGACTTTTAAAAATACTAGAAATGTCTTCTCAAAATACACCTGCACTTTATTTATTGGTGGATTTGGAACGAAAACTTAGGAAGTGACTTGGACAGGCATGTTGGCAAGTGCTTACAGATCTGGGTAGTATATAACTGCATTTCCATAGTACAGTGTATAGCCTCAAATGCTGAAATCCTTTAGGGAGCTTTTAAATAAAGCAGTTGTCTATTCTTTAATCTGTCAAATAGTCATTGAGCCTTTTGTTCCTTGTGTCTGGTCTTCTAGACAAGTAAAGATCTGCTTCTTTTAGGAGACAAAAGACTGGGGTCTGGGGGTGGGGAAGGGGCAGAGTAGTAATAGATCCTACATTGTCCAGTTTGTTAGTCTAGAAGCTGGGAAGTGTGGGTATAACAAGTGATAAAGATGACAGTTTGGAGTAATTCCTCCTCTCTTCCAGCTCTTCCTATTATAAAAAAGAAGTGTCGCCCTAGCCGGTTTTGCTCAGTGGCTAGAGCGTTGGCCTGGGGACTGAAGGGTCCCGGGTTCTATTCTGGTCAATGGTACATGCCCAGATTGCAGGTTCAATCTCCAGTAAGAGGTACCAGGAGGCTGCTGATCATTGATGTTTCTCTCTCTCTCCCTCTCCTTTCCTCTCTGAAATCAATATATGTCTGCCACCTAAAAAGGCAGGTTCTGAACCACACACATAATTGGGAATTATAATTTTTCAGATTGTAGGTCTGTTTTATTATTTTTAACCAGCTTTATTGAGTTATAAGTGACATGCAATAAAATGTAGTTTGATAAGTTTTGACATATGCATATACTTGTGAAACCACCACCACAACCAAGATAATGGACACATCCACTGCTGTTTGAGATGGTTCCTCATGTCCTTTATAATCTCTTCCTCGTCAGGCGACCATGGTTCTGCTTTGTGTCCCTATACATTAGTTTGCATTTCCTAGAAATTTATATTAATGGAATTTTATATCTGGCTTTTTATGCTTGGCATAATTATGTTGAGATTTATCTGTGTTGTAGTTTGTGTCAGATAGTTCATTACTTAATTTCGTTGTGTAGTAGTGTTCCATTGTATGGATGTACCACCGATTGTTTGTGCATCCGCCTGTTGATGGACATTTGGGTTATTTCCCCGAGTTGGCTATCACAAACAAAGCTGCTTTGATCGTTCATGTACAAGAGTTTGTATGAACAAATGCTTTCATTTCTCTCTGGTAAACACCTATCAGGGGTATGGCTAGGTCATATAAGTAGGTGTATATTTAACTTTCCCAGAAAGTGCCTAATTGTCTTTCAAAGTGGTTATACCATTTCCATCCCCACCAGCAGTATATAGGAGTTACAGTTCTTCCACGTACTCATCAGCACTTGGTATGATCACTTAAAAAAAATATTTTGTTGAGTTTTTACAGAGAAGAAGGGAGAGTTATAGAGAGCTAGAAACATCGATGAGAGAGAAACATCGACCAGCTGCCTCCTACGGTACACCCCCCCCACAGGAGATGTGCCCGCAACCAATGTACATGCCCTTGACCGGAATTGAACCTGGGACCTTTCAGTCCACAGACCAACGCTCTATCCACTGAGCCAAACTGGTTTCAGCGGTATGATTACTTTAAAAAAATTTTTTTTTTATTGAGTTTTTACAGAGAGGAAGAGCGAGGGATAGAAAGCTAGAAACATCGATGAGAGAGAAACATCCATCAGTTGCCTCTTGCACACCCCCTACTGGGGATGTGCCCACAACCAAGGTACATGCCCTTGACCAGAATTGAACCCGGGACCCCCCAGTCCGCAGGCTGACGCTCTATCTACTGAGCCAAACCGGTTTCGGCTGGGTTAATTTTTGTATATGGTATGAGGTGTGGATACATGTTCTCTTTTTGGCATATGGATAGTTATTCCAGCACTATTTGTTGAAAAGACTGTCCGTCTTTATTGAATTTGCACTTTTGTTGAAAATCAGTTGTCCATTTATATGTGAGTCTATTTCTGGACTCTATTCTGTTACATTGGTCTGTTTGCCTCTCCTTATGCTTATACCACATGGTCTTGATTATTGTCTATTTATTTATTTATTTATTTATTTATTTATTTTACATTTTTGTTGATTTCAGAGAGGAAGGGAGAGGGAGAGACAAAACCATCAATGATGAAAGAGAATCAGAGATTGGCTCCCTCTTGCATGCCCCACACTGGGGATGGAGTCTGCAACCCAGGCCTGTGCACTGACCCTGGAATTGAACTGTGACCTCCTGGTTTACAAGTGGATGCTCAGCCATTCACCCACACCCATTGGGCCTGAATATTGTCGCTTTATTACAAATCTTGAAATCAGATAGTGTTAGTCTTCCAACTTCATTCTTCTTTTCCAAAGTATTAATTCTTCTTCTTTAACATCAGTATTAATTCATTCAACAAGTAGTTATTTAACCAGGCAGGATAAAGCAGTAAGATGGGCAAAGATTGCTATTTCTGTGGCTGAGAAAGAGAGTAGACAAACACATGAATAAATAAGATAATTTCAGGTAGTAATAACTGCTGGGAGGGCAGAAAATAAGCCAGAAATGGGGACGATGTTGATTAGGGGTTTAGGAAACGTCTTTTTGAAGAGATGATCATATGAGCTGACTCCTGAATGGCAGGTAGTATTCTGAAATTTGTTTTGCTTAATTATTAAAATAATTATTTTTGATTCATGTATAGGGTTTAGATTTTGTGTAGCATTCAGTATTAAAGGTCAGTGTATTCAGTGTGCTGGTAACTCTCAATATCACAGGCATGGAAAGGAAGGCACTGAGAAAGCAAATGACATTTTCCCAAATAATTTAGCGATTGTAGTACTGAATTCAGATTTTCAGATTGCCTGACTGCCCTACTCTGCCTTGTTCAGCTGACAAAACTGGCTGTGTTTTCCGTCTTCCTTCAGCATCCTTTACATTTGCTTTGAAAATTCACGTCTGCTGACATGAGCTGAGAGGAGCAGAAAGCAGCTCGTACTGAGACTTGGCATTTGGTTTATCTGTTGTAGGTCAAGTACATTTTGTCCCAGGCTCTCTCTCCCTGGTGGTCATGTTTGTTTCTCTCCCATGGGAGTAAATAAACGTGCTTGCTGAAAAAATAACAGTTCTGTGTCTTTCCAGTTGAAACTGGATGTCTGTATTAATGTCACGTCCTGATGTAAGCCCAGGTTTTTGGCCAGAGCTGCTCAAGTGCAGGGCCCGCTGCTAAGATTACTTACCCTTCCTGCACGTGGTCCACGTGGAGACTGTTAGTGAGTCCCACAAGGTCCTGGGAAAGCAGAGCCAACTCCTGTAGGGAGTTTGTTACCCTGCAGGACAATAGAGGACACTGTGCTGATTCTTGCCCCTTTTGGAAACACGGAGGGCCCTTGCCATTCAATGCTGACCTTTTTAAGGAAAGGAAAGACACATAAGGAAAGGAAAGGCTGATAGGAAAGAAGTTGATTGAAACTTCATTTGAAAGCTGGTGTTGGAGGAGAGCCCGAGGGA